GAAGGCACGTGAACCAACCCCACTTAATCAAGCGTTCATCAATATTCAAAGTCACTCAAAAGCAAGCCACAGACATGTGATGAGTAGGATAAGATGTACACACACATACGCTCATACAACAACAGTCAAAGTTGATAAGCGAATAATTAACAAGGTCAAAACATAACTCACGAAGAATGGATAAATTGGCCAGTCTAGAAGCTAGAATAAGTTATGTGAGCTTAACATAATAACCGACACTACAATCTCAAATGGTCTAATATTATATATAGGTTTTTTATGTTTACTACATTAATCAGTCAATAATTTAATGCATATAGACAAGTTACAGTATCACCAGATTGAATCCTGTAACTACAAATATAAATAAATTACGGAGTTACATCATATATCACAGTAACTTGTAAAAACATTCGTACACTAAATGGCTGAATATGAGCTCATAGCTCGAAAAAGGATCTCGTTCATTTCAGAATACTGAACGGATATTTCGGGATTAATGATGAGTTAACTAGAATTTAGGATTTTTTGTTTAGTCAGAAAATCATTTCATTTGGCTCAATAAAACTGACGTTTTATACAGTAAATTTAACATATCTCGTAGCACCACAGACATAACGGTTGACTGAAGATCGACTTTAAAATAAGTAGAGTTTGATCAGTTATAGTATTCTAAATTATCGTATGAATTAGGAATTCCAGGATTAACGCAATTGAATTAAGAAGACACAGGCACAAACGAATGTATTGTATTTAGAATTCGAAATCGAGCATTCAACAAGTACAAAAGAATCATTAGTTAATTCAAACACCACATCCGCCACAGCTTAAATAGAAGTATAAGTGTTTGTGATCGGTTGTACGTCTTCTTGTTAAGTTCATCCTGAGTCTGTCCGACATTGTATAAGATAAAAACTTTGTAGTATCTAGAAAGTGCTCATTAGTATTGGAATTAACAAACGAAATCGGAACAGACTCACCTGGAATTGTATACAACCAGCATGTCGGTTTTGTAATGAAATCATTAATATCTAGAATTCGAACCATAGATTTTTCAACACTATCCCCCCCCCACGAAATAATGTTGGATCTTTATACTCCCAAGTTATGAATAATGTGGCTTCATTTAAAACATATATCTCACATTGTTTAGAGTAAACATTGGAACGGTTTTGTGATAAGAGTAAACAGCAGTTGATATGAAATCATCCGAAATATAATAAAACTCGAGGTCACTTAGTACTCGTGCTTCGCATTGGGCAGGTTTTTCACGAAGATCAAATACATTATGAGGATAGGTAATATATGATATGACATCAGGATTTGATTCTTCTGAAATATTCTCATGAAATTCATCAGGACTGTCGTTGCAGAGCGTAGGATCGTTAGAAAAATCAGCATCTATCCAAACCACATCAGGTTTTCGATCATGATTAGGTTCATTTAACATATTTTCCTCAGAATTGCAAGTAATTTCATTAGAAATATGTGAATCATTAGGAAAAGTCATACTTGGTACAATAGCATGAGAATTCTGATAAATCGGTTGATTAGGAAATGTTGTCTCACAAGAATTCTGGATTTCATTTAACTCTGAACTGCCATATGACTCTGCACTGTCTTTTGAAATCGTTGATAAAGATAAATGATCATCATGAATACTCGACTCAGTAGAATCAGAATTACAAGACTTAATATTAATTGCAGTAAGATGAACATTAGCATTACAAACTGACTGAACTTGTCCAATATCACGACATTTGAAGCATTTAGAATTATGAAATTTACATGAATTAGAAGAGTGGAACTTGCAACAGGACAAACACTGACCAAACTTGTCCCCATCCTCGTGAACTGCATCCAAATTCAATGAATTGTCTGCATAACCTTGAGTATGCACTAGGTTGAGATGACGTAGTAATGTAGTGGACTTTTTTATATCCTCATGAATCATTTTACGAAATCTTCCTCCTTTACGACATTTGAAATTTGTATACTGAGCATAGTCTAGCAGTAGATCCTTGAGAGCTGTATAAGAAAGCGAAATGGGTTTTTCCGGCATAGCCAGAGTTCTTAATAAGCTGTATGCTTCTTTTCCAATGAATGTGAGGAAGTGTGCCACAATATTAACATCCTCATCATCTTCCTTGGTCATAGCCCAGATTTCGAACCTTTCAAAGTAGTCTTCAAAAGCTTCAGGAGTTGAATGAATATCTAACTTTTCCATTGCAGGCTCCATCGCGACGCCAATATAGTATTCTAATTATAGTATGAATTAGGAATTCCAGGATTAACGCAATTGAATTAAGAAGACACAGGCACAAACGAATGTATTGTATTTAGAATTCGAAATCGAGCATTCAACAAGTACAAAAGAATCATTAGTTAATTCAAACACCACATCAGTTTACAGAGCAGTTAATATATTTCGGTTGTATCTTGCATAACTTTGGCGATGGCCGACACAAATTATAGTGTTTTAGAAAAGAAAACCGTGTTACAGAACAACATTCCCCAACAGTCACAAAATCTTATGCTAGTTTTTTTCTTATTTCATTTTATTAAAATAAAATAAAGAGTATTCAAAGAACAGAAACGTGAAAACATGAGTTATTTTCTGATCACTTGTTTATTCACTTTCATAACCTTTTTGACTATTTTCATCTACAGTGTTTACATTCTCTACATTAATCATACATTCTGAATTATTAATTCTAATAACTTGTTTGTGTATTTCGTGAACGTTGTTATGTTTGGCTTGGAACTTGTTTATGTTTGTAGATAAATCTTATTAAAACGGATGCTTTTCTTTTCATAAACTTACACAAAGACAATTATTGGTGTTATTATTTCCATAGTAGGCTACTCAAACCTCTATTTTGCTCCATTGTTTTGATGTACAATGGATATTTTAAAAAAATGATTAAAATTTGATATATATATATAACTCAATATCCTTTCTAAACGGTAAATTATCATTACCATTGACTTTGATATGTTATATCAGTTTTCTGCTCAGTAAAACAAAACAATATACTTTTATTTACATATTTTAGATATAAGTTTATGGTCATAAAAACTATTTGTCCGTTTTCCGCTACTCATTTTCAAATGGAAAGATAAATGTTTCATGTTCGTTTACATATATACATAGAACAATAAATGAATTGATTTATTTCAGTCTACAATTTAAACTATACCCGTGTCGTACTCTATTTCATTATTTCCTTCCAGAATACAGTTATTTTTTTGTTCTAAGATATTCCTTAATCTAACCTATATGTTGCATTGGTCTCTAATAGGTCTTTGTGTTAAAGCTCATTGAAAATCTTTGGAAAATGACTGGTAAATGTGATAGTTAATCATTGTTTCCGACAGATTACAAAACATTTTTAGTACGTCATTTCTATATTCTTTTTTCCAACTGAACCAAAATAAAAAATCTCATTATTTTGGAATACTTTATAAGAATTATTACCATGTTTTGAGCGAGAGGTGTTGAATTAGTTAGGCTATGAGTGTACGAAAGACGTTGAAAATAAAGTTTCGTTTGGATAGACCTTGGCGTTTTAAATTTAATAGCTTTTATGTTTTTGTTGGAATTCATTTTCGAGCTAAACTTCAAACAGGATTTGAGTTATGAAACATTAATATATCTCCTAATGAGGAGCTCAAATAAATAGCCACTTTCTAAATTATCTATAAAACAAAGTTCTGAGAGCATTGGTATTTATAATTTATAATTTAAGGTTAAATTTCTTAGAACTTGATTTTACTCATTTATTTATAATACAGCTACCGCGAAATGAACCGACCAGTCATTCTTGGATTGATCACAGGTTGAAATTTATTTAATGAGATGTGGTTACTAGAATAAATACCATGTAAAACACTAACTTTACAAGATAATAGAAAACATTTAATGGTTTTATGATAAAATAGGAATTGTGTGTTTAAGAAAATTTAAAAACGATCACAATTAAATTCAGTAGTATCTAACTAAAAATCGGACGTTATGTCTTCATGAAGTCAAGGCCTTATATATATTAATAAAAACTCGTACCACTTTGATAAAACGGAAAATGTAGCCAAATATTAGCTCAGACATCTACTTGTCAATTATTTAGTCAGCCACATTGATTGTTCAATATATTCGGAATCAACATTTCAGTTGTTCCTCACCTGATGTTAACGACCATTAAAAAACAATCTGTATTCAAATAATAATTTCTTGCTTGTGTTTTGATTTGGAACTATTTCGTTATCATGAAATAAAGTAACTAGGATTCCAAGATATATTGGTCCACTGTTAATATAGCTTTAAACTTACGTACATGTGTCCATAACAGAGATTGCATCACACTACTATAAAGAAAATTAATTATGGACAGTTTCATTCAGGATTCGTGTAACCGATATAGCTGCTCAATTGATTTATTTTCATACATTACTCAATTTGTTAGGTTAGATTTTTAAATTTTTAATTATCTATTAAACAGTCATAATTTTGTTTCAAGTAAATAATTAGAGACGTCAACTACACATTTGATAAGTTATATTGAGTAGCATACTCAAAGAAAAAGAAAATAAACATTTATAAGCAAAGATCGATAGTGGCTAGCATTGGAATCCAGGACGCGCGTTTCGTTCTATTTGGGACTCGTCAGCTGGATGTGCCTGCACCCCATTGCACAAGCAGGTGGCTATCAGGACTCAGTAACTGAGTGGATAGTGCGATGGCATTTGAAGTGAACGATATTGGGTTTGAGTTCAGGAGTGAACATCAACTCTGAGATGCGGGTACATCCAGATGACGAGTCCCAAGTAGGATGAAATATGCGTCCTGGATTCCACTGCTAGCCATTATCCATCTTTGCTTAGAATGCTTATGAATTAAGGCAATATCGAGGCAGTCAGCACAGTATGCACATATGCCAACAGTAGACTGATCAATTGCATTCCTAAATAACAATGGGAGGATACAAGAGAACAATACCAAGTGAATTAAATTAAATGTTTATTCTCATATGTTACAAAAAATATATAAAATCCGTTCTGTGCATATTAATTCATATAAAATAGTTGAAGTCCGTCAATTTGTATCAGTTTTTTTAATTATGAAAAGAAATAAATTGTGAGTTATGATCTAAGTTAAAAGGACATAAAAAATACAAAGGTTGTAATATTTTCCTCCATTACCTCCTCAAATATTAAAAGCTAAAAATAGTTATAACAAGAGAATATCACATTTAACTTTAAAATTCAATCATATCTTGTTGTAGAAGACCTGTTTTCTCTGACGAAAGTAAGTTTGATTGAGGTCCGCATTTACGATTCAAAAGATACTGACGTGAATGCTTTTCAAGCGTGTCTGACCATTTATCGTAAATTTCTGAGTTTATGTCTATAAGTTACAGAAAGAAACAGAGACAATACAAACTTTTCTAAAACGGTTAAATGATTCAGTTTCACATTTATAAGGAACGTTCAACTTAACGTTAATATATGTGACAAAAAAGTTGGTATTAATAAACTGTAAAACATCAAGGACAAAGATGATTGATATTAAATTCCATAAATAAATAAGCTCATATCAAATACTAGCTCAATTCAGTGGGATTAAAAGTAAAAGAATTTGACAAAATAAAATTGATGAGTGAAAATGAAAACAATATTCACAAAAAGAAATTTAAGCCGGCAATTTTCAGATTGATTTTATTTCAAATACTGTGGTTCAATGTTAATTTGCCAAACACTGATGCTTTGTATTCTTTGCGCACTTAAATTTCAAACTTAGCGAATCATCTCCACATAGAGAGGTAAATCTCTCAACCCTCCCAACTTCGACTGATTTAAGTGGAACGTACTTTGTTTACCACATTTTAATATGGTACACTCACGCTGAACGTAATGTCCTTGAAAATATTATTTTTTATTGTTGGATCCTTTTACTTTGTCTCAAACGAAGCTTATAGGCAATTTGATAATGAATATAGTTTGAAAAATGCCGTAAGGTTTTCTTATTAAATAATAAGTTGACTCGTACATCAAAATCATAGTACATTTATGAAAGGCTAATTAATAACAAAGTTTTCTTTCATTCACACATGATACAAATAAACATAAGTTGATGGACAAGGTAAAAATTTGGAAGTTATCGGAAACTCATTTACTCAGAGTGGTTGTTTAGTATGGAGTAAAAGTATAAGTGAATTCTTTCAATGTACTTATTGCTTATTCAGCTAATTAATCTTGAATGCAGACAGCAATAGTTTAACTCACACGAGTATGACTACTGAATAGTTTTAAGTAGTCACACTTGTTTACATACATTTATAAATGGATATTGCTATAAAATAAACTATGATTATTACTTACTGAGGTTTGAACCTCAGCATTCACTGAGTTATATTTAGTGACGTAACTTTCCAGTCTTTGATATTGTGAGCATACTTGATTTTTAATCAACCATTCAGCTTTTCAAGTGAACTGTTTATCGCATTTACGGCTCTGTATCTGTTCATTATCAAAAAATACTCTTATTATTTGATAGATTATTACTCTAGGTTGTTATTTTTTCATGAAAAAAGTTATCTTTATAAAGTTTCCGTCCTACCCTGCCGAATCGACATGAATTGACATTTCGTTTACTAACTCCTTAAATCCTGTGTAAACAACTAAAGTCATCAAAAAGCATTCGCATTGTCGTCTTTCAATTAACATTATAATTTAAAGGATATATCACTACCGCCTTTATAAAATTCATTTGAAATCAAAAATATTAGGATAGTAAATTTCAAATTCTTAAGACTGAACTACAATGTAAGATAATTTATCATACCAAGACATCCCTATTTTCTATATCTTTAGTTGTAGCAAATCTGTTGAACGTGAATTTGTGAATTACAGTTAAATTATTTGGGATGTAATATTTATAATTTATCATGTGTATACGATTGTACATCTTGAAAATTATTCCTTCGCTGAGTAAGTTGTTTTATGACTTAATCGGTACATTTAAGTTAATAATAGTAATATTATGTTTGTTATATCCCTATAAGCAGAAAATTGAATTTATGACGTTTCTGAACTGAATATGAATCGCTTCTTTAACAGATAATTAAATAATCAAATTAAATCAACACTTATTGAAATGGGATAAATCAAAATATTTAGTACAGTCAAAAGAGATATGATCTTGGCAATATTAAATCATTCAAGCAATAGGTGAGATGGAATGTGTGCGTATTTTAATGGCACTAAATGTTTTGATCCGTTACCCTGTACAGTTTAGCATAGTGTTACTTTAATCTGATGATTTGTTTAATAGTTGAATTCATGAGTTGGTGCAAGCTAGACTACCATTGAAAACCTGAAAGCACTGAACAACCGTTTCCTCCTAATATGGGACTCCTCTAAAAACCTTCATCCTAATTTATTTATTCCCTAACGAAGCGACCTACACCAAGTGGCAAAACGTCAATAATTTGATTTTAGATTCACTAAGATATTACAAATGTGGAGAAGATTTGTAGCTCAGGTGGATGATTTTGGTGGAGTTTTGTTCTCTGAGCTGGATGGTTTGGTCGTGGAGCTTTCATCGTTCTTCTGAACGACATCATCACTTTTATTCTTATCCAAGGATTTCAGTATATGAGGATTGAATTCGATTTAAGATTGAAAATTTTAGAATGATTCTAGGCTGAACAATTGGTGAATGAAAAATAAATGAGTGCGACTGTGACACAAGCCTATACAGACCTATTTCTTGCAAAATATACGATACATAAATTGTGACTGTTCAACAGGTCTCATTGAAGATGTATTCATTTCCCCATACTGCCTAGTTGAGGAGTTAATGACTTTGGGGGTTAATAATGTTGTCTTGAATTAGGTTTCCTAAGCGTTCTTCCAAAATACTCCCAAGGTGAGTCTAACGCATATCTCAAAACGTATCAGTCATCGAAGATCTATTCAACCAACAATAGACTCTCAGTTTACAACTAAAACTGTACATCCAACTTCATTGTTGCTCACTGTGACTAAATCAGATGAAACATGAGCTGAGGATAACTGTGACCAAATAATTTCAACCTACACATGTGTTCTATTAGGGAAACGTTACACAAACAATTATTCACTCAAAAATCTCTAGATTCTCAACTCACCTGAATCGAATGCTTCCAGTGACTGTTCTACAGTTTTCAGATTTTGGGGTTTACTACCCAGTACAAATCAGGACTTGTGACTGAATGACGAGGAAAGGGTAAACGTACTAAGTCTCGAGTTTTTTATCTCTAAACTGTTTATGAAGTATGAATAGCAGGGAATTCCATGCGATCAAGTTAAGGAAATTCGTTAACCATATTTGTCTCCCCTTGTCTTAGCATCAAGTCATTTTCTCGCGAAATATTTTGTGATTTTTTTTAACAGTCTTATATTTACTAAAATGATCTATTAAATAAGCAATTTTTCGTCCCAAGATACATTTTTTCACGACTGCATAAATGTTCACACAAATAACTTCCCTAATGCCTATGTGCTACAAGAGATATTAACTTTCTAAATTAAAGCTTTTTTCACAATTGACTATTATTATAATTGTACATTTAATTTATGTCAGTCTATATAAATAATTCGAATTGGGTTTTTTCATAAAAGTGATTTTTATTGATTCCATTTGTTATATCATCACTTCATCAATGTTTCATAACGAATGGCCTTTTCTTCTGGTACAAAACGTTTTGGATAGTCTTAAAGATCTGCAAACGGCCAAAAACATCAATAAAAATAACGATGCTTTGTGAGTATCCATATTAAAAACTTGAAATAGTTCAGTTTTCCTATTTATATACCCATAGTTATATTCATTGTAAAAGCTGTGTTAGTCTTCCTGCTATTTAAACTATATAAGTAGTTGTTTTACTTCGTATGCCTTGGCATACGATAAATAAATTTATTGACCTATGAAGGAACAGAATTAATTTAAGTGCTAAATTCATATATAACTAAGTATTCTCTAATTTACATTTCCTACTATAATCTTAGTGTTGACATTTTCCTGTATGCCGTGGATGAATAGCGTTGATGTAATTTATCGTCTTAGCCTTACTTCAGTTCAACTACTGTTCCTATTAGATTTTCTCAATGTAAAAATATTTAGTTGGTGCATCAAGAACAGAAACACTAAATTAATATGTGATGATATTTACTAATAAATCAAAATGTAAAATGTTGAATATTTAACTTAGTAAAACGTTGTCCTTTATGAGACAATCCAATTTAATACCTTTTAAATTATTATTAAGAGTTATTTATCAATAACATTATTTGACGGAAGTCGAGATTTTAACGCGCGTATTCTACTTATTTCTTAATAAAAGTTCCTACCAGTCCTATGTGTTGAGAGATATTTAGTATATTAGTTCGAGTCTAAAGATAGTTGTAGAGGTTTGAAATTACGCATAAAATAGATTTTGTAGTACGTTGAATAGATTTTATAGTATTTCTGAAAATATCTATTGTTATTTGGTTCATCTTTAGTAGTGTTGAAACTTTGTGCTACTTCATGCCAAAACACTAATTTCAAATTCATCACTCATATTATTGAATCATAGAATCAGCTTACAATATTTTACAACGTAAATGTCCTGTTGAATCAAACAAATAGAAAATAAAGACAAATGTCAACCGATGATGCTTATTGATACATAAGTAGCTCAATAACGTATGACAGTGAAAAATTAATGACTTCTAAAGTGTCTGAAAATTTAGTGAAACAATGGAAGACCTATTGTGTTCTGCATATTCCTAAAGATTATTCAATTAACTTCAGTCTACGATACTGAGCTCATTAATTACTACGTTTCGATATTAAACTGAATGTGCGTTTTACTTGTGCATAATGTAAAGATTTTAGTTCCTTTTATAAATTTTGATAGAACAATGAGATGGTAATTATTTGCAAAATGTAATGTGTTTGCCCCGTACATTTCGAATGGTCTGATCACATATAAACTTATCAAAGCATGTTATATGGAAGTTATTAAAGGTCAATTAAATGAAAGTTCAAGCAAACAAACCGATTTTATGGTGAATTATCGTTTCGAATTCATTAAATACTCTAATCTGTAGCTAGCAGTGGAATCCAGGACACGCGTTTCGTCCTATTTGGTACTCGTCACCTGGATGTACCTGCATCTTAGGGTTGATGTTCACTCTGACTTTCCAACACAATACCGTTCGCTTCAAACGCCATCGGGTTATTCACTTAGTTACTGCTAGCCACTATCCATCTTTGCTCATAATGCTTGTGAATTAAGGCAACACCAAGGCAATACGCACAGCATGCATGTATGCCAATAAGAGACTGATCAATTGCAGTCCTAAACATCAATGGGAAGA